TGGCTCCTGGAGGATAAACAAGCGAGAATGGTATGGAGTGAACTTGGATTTTAGTTAATACGATTAGGAGTGGGAGAGAAGTAGGATTGATAAAGAGAAGAGTTGAGGATTAGATCGACTTAAAAGAATTGAAGTGGGTAAAGTAGCTGGGAGGGGAAAGTTGGGATACTGTTGGGTCCACATATCATAGGAAGTATTAAATATGTGGAAGGTTGCAATCAAGAAGGAAAAAGATGAGGAGGTAAGTATGAGAGAAAGAAGAAAAGGTGTGGGAATGAGTGAATATTTGAGATGTGGCTGAAGAGTATACTGAATGCCATAGTAAACTGGATGGAAAAAATACACATCAGCCCTAAGGCCTTACTGAACAATAGACAAAAGCAAAACCATCCTAAGTTATACAGTCAAGAGTGTAATAGAAAGTAAGCAGTAAAAACAGCACTTATGGACTGGTTTGCTGGTACAGCTGCTCTGAGTTCAAAGGTGAAGTTCTCAGATCTCGAGCTCTAGCAGGTTCCTTAGGGTGCTGTGTAGAGGAGAGAATGGGAGTCTGTGGTCTCTGCAGACTCAGCAGTCTTAGGATTCTGGTATGTCATGGAGGGGAGGTTGTAAGTCCTTTTCTGTAGTTCCCTTTGGACCTCTGCACTCCACCTTGGCCTCTTCTGGCCTTGCAGGTCTTCTGTATGTGAGGAGCAGCACTTCCCTTGCCATTTCTCACGTTTATTGAGTGTCTTCATCACACTGTACATCTGTCCCCACTTAGGAGGGTGAGAAAACTATGTGCATCGTGCATCCAGGGGAAATGCACTTTGAATTGTAATCACTTTATGGGCTGGTGAGAAGTGCCATTGTTATCTCTTCAAGTATAGATATTGAGGAGAAACAACTAGTACTCCATGGAAAGCTGTGTGCTAAGTTATTCAGAATGCAACCCAATGGTAGAGTCTTGTCTAAAAAGCAGTAAGCCCAGAGTTTGATCCTGGGGTCATGTCCTCATCAGAATTATCCCAGTATTTGAAACGACATTGACCTGGCACATACAGGTATAAACAAGATCTAGTAGCATCGGAAGGTAGTGGACTGATGAACTTCTACAGTAGCACAAAAGAATGTCAAGGTAGCACAAAAGAATGTCAAGAAGCACAAAAGAATGTCAAAGAATGCATATGAACAAGTCCAGTAGACAATGAATTTGAAGCCATGTTACTTATTTCCAGCCAAGTGTTTAATTCCAGTAATTTGGGTTATTTCTCTTTTTGTTTTGTTTTTATTTTTGATCAAGATAGAGTTACTCTGAGTAGTCTTGGGTATCCTGGAACTCACTCTGTAGACCAGGCTGGCCTTGAATACAGATATCTGCCTGCCTTTGTTTACTGAGTGCTGGGATTAAAGACATGTGCCACCACCACCCAGCTGGATTTCTTGTAGATGGCACATCTCACATGAAGAGTAGTTGCTTTGTGTCTTTCAAGAGTCATAAAGTTGACAAATGGTTTTGATCTTTTGCTAACTCAGTTAAAAGAGAACATACTTCCTTATCCTACCTAGTTAGAGTAAATATATAAATCTTTTGTTGTAGATGAAAACTGTGACCTACTTTAGATTTCATGACGGCATACTGTTGAAATGAAAATAAATGTATTTTAATTAATCTACTGAATTGGCTATGCCTGTGATGTTTCTTTCTCTTTATGTTCATAACTTTATCTTAAAGTTTATTGGAACAAGTATGAATCTCTTCAGAAACTCAGCATGTTTTTAGAGCATTTATTCTCTATGGAGAAGCCTGGAAGCCACCACAGGAAAGTAGCAAGAAGTAGAAGAGTTGGAAAGTGTGCCTGTGCAGTCAGTCTATGAATGAAAGCAGAAACTTGATTAAGTGGACATTGGGAGAAGGCTGGCACTTAGATAGTTGATAATAGAGGAGCTTTAAACACACTTCACTTAAATGTCCTGTTTTTCTTATTGTAGAACTATGGTGGTTTATTAAGAGTTCATTCGTGAAAAGTTTCTAGCAGTTTAAACAATAGTCACTTTTTAAAACGATTTGGGCCCATGTGAATCAGAACAGTGAAGTCTGCCGTTGGGCTTACCACAAACTGGTTTTGGTCTGTGTGTGCAGGAAAGAGCTGAGGCTTTAGTTAACGAAATGGGTGATAATACTGTCTTTCTGTGGGGTTGCTTCAAATGTAGTGTATTTTAAAGCATCAAATAATTGGTAATCATTAGGAATCAACACTTTAAAAGTCCTAGAACTTTAAGCAAATTGAAATGTTATTAAAAGCTAAAAAATTAGATTTGCTTTTAAATAGGGCAGACCTTATGAACCTACATTCTATATCAGGATTGCTCAGTTCTGTAATATCAAAACATTCATAAACTGTTCCCATCACTCAAAACTCTCAGCCCCTCTGCTCTCCATTTTGTTGACAGTTAGGTCTCTAGGAAAGAACTGAGTTCATCAGGCTTTTCAGGAGCCAAAGTGTAGCATAGTGTAGTGTAGTATATAATATAGTACATTATGTATAGTACAGTAAGTATAGTATGCTGTATCCTGGTGTCTGGCTAGTCTGTTACAATAAGACTTGATACCTAGGTGATTTGGGAAAGCATTTAGATCAGTGCAGATTGAAGATAGGAATGCTTCTGAAAGCATGTTCAGAACAGGATCTTAACCACAGTATACCAGGTACTGATGCACACACTTTTATTTACATGCTATGCATCTGCACACACATAGCATACATTCTCAGTTACCATGTAAATAAAACAGTGACTGAGATAAACTTTACTCTCTTCCTCTATTGAAGAAGCCAATTAAAAGTTCATTTTTAAGAACTCATCCTAATGCTGTGAATGTCTATGAAAAGAACAAAGCCAAGCTTCTAATGACGATGATCAATGGGATGCAGAGGAAAGTGGACTCAGAAGACATCATTTCTCAGCTTTAGCATACAAGAAGTAGACAAAGGAGCTCACACAGCACATGTATCACCAGGGGAAGGCTCCGAGCGAGCCCTGGAATTCACAGTCCTAGCAGGCTTAGGTATCAGTGGGTTGGGGTCAGCCTGGAAGCACAGTGGGCCAGCTGCCTTTTGGAGAGAATCATGGGAAGAATCCATAGGGCTGTGTTTCAGGAGGAGTAGGGATGGGAGAGTTGTTGTCAGTGGAGGAGGTGGTGTGCAGGCCTTGCTGGTGGATCGTGGGGAGAGATGAAGGCAAGCATTCAGATACAGCAATGAAACAGGTTTCTGGCTAAGAAGGTGCCATTCACAAAGTCTTTCTTGGAGGAGACTTGCCAGGTTTCTGTTTCTTACTGTGCTACATGTGAGGTTTCTGTGAATTATTCAAGAGATAGTAGGTAATTGAGAACTTGGAGTCTCAGAGGTTTTGGGCTACAGATACCTATATGGGAGATAATATCTAAAACTATAGGCAAAATTAGTGAGAGAAGATAGAAGAGAAAAATGTGTCCCAGCTAAGATCTGACAAATGATAGCATTCAGAGGGCTGCCGTGTATCACTTAGAGAGCTGGACAAAGCAGAAATGAGGTTGGTAGAGCCCTGTGGTTTGGCGGGGGAAGAGAGGAGCATTCTTGGTGTGATCCCTTTCTTGCTGCAGCGGCAGCTCACCTGTGCACATGGCTGCCCCCTTGCAGCATTCAGGCTGACCCAGAGCTTGCTTATCATTACTGAACACCTAATCTTAGCACTTCCCTGCTTACTACACTTTGGGTATTTCTCATTTGTATTGAAAATAAACATGTAAACCATCTTGTTTTGCAAAGAATTTGAAATGGCAGAAGGCAGTGACCCCAGGAGTTAGCTTTTTCAGTGATTATGAGGTAAATTTGTGATTTACATTTTTAAGTTTCAAAGCAAAGGTATATTTTTACAAATTAAAAATGATAAAAGCTGCACAGCTTAATGTGAAATTTTAAGACACGTAAGTTAAAGGGTATGTGCTGTATATATGTTGAATACTTGTTCTTAAAACAGTCTAACCCTCTTTTTACTCATTCATGTCAATAATGTTCATGTATAAGCCAGCTCCACATGCTGTGTCTCTAGCGTGTGTAATATATATGCATATATAAAACATTACTTATATTCTCACATTAACTTCAAGGTAATATTGTAATGATTTATGATGTGCCTATTCTTAACTTGAAAGGTCTTTTGACATGTCTTTGACCTTAACCAATAATACCTGAAATTTTAAACTTAACAGTTACGTTTTGTATTGTGTAAATGAAGTATCAGAGTTTATTTTTGCAGTGTTTAATTTTGTTATTGCTTCTTTATCTAAAAAGGTCATAAGCTTGTCCTTTGGGGGGTATTTTATGTAGTAATATTTGGTTGTCAGAACATTATTAATACGAAACTAGAAGAATTTCTGTTGAACAGATTTCTCTTAACTATAAAAACTATCCACACATTAAGTAAAGAAAAGCATAGGCTTTATGAGTAAACAGAAATAAATAATTCTAGAATAGTAGAGTGTATTCTGTAAGGTACACTGTAAAGAAGACAGTGATTTATAAATAAAAATAAAGTGACAGGTGCAGTGCTTGTGTTTATAATAAATATTTACAGAAGAAATGGAGCAGATGTCCTGGGGAGCGTTCCATTAATTCAGAGTTTACTCTTCCATTGTTCCTGTGCCAGACAGTGAGGCATGATGGGAAGAACACCATCATGAACACCATACACTGTGGTTTAATTGTATAGATTGTTGATGAAAAATGGCACACCCAATTCACCTACAAAATTTGTAGTTTCAAGTTGATTATTGGTTTCGTACATAGATTTAGACTAGAACTTAGAAAGAGGCAAGCTAACTTCTTTTAGAATAAGAAAGGTTTTTCTGGTTATGTCTTAGCATTTCATTTAATCAGGTTAAGTTTCATGTCTTCATGTATAGATGTTAAAGCATTTCTTAACTTTCCTAAGTTATTTCTAAAAGAGAGCTAATATTTGTTTGTTTTTCAATTTCTAAGACTGCTGAGAAGTCAGGCCAGATCGAAAGATCAAAGAATGTAAGGCAGAGACAAAATGATTTCAAGGTAAGTGAGAGATGCGAATGTCAACTTTTCAGAGCACTGAGTTTTCTCTCCCAGCATTACTGAAGACTTTATAGGCAAGATACATTTTATCATTCAGCACAATCTTTACCAGATTATCATAATGTAGTTTTGCCTTTTATTTTCTAGAAAATGATTCAGGAAGTAATGCACTCCCTGGTGAAGCTGATCCGGGGAGCCCTGCTCCCACTCAGCCTCAGAGAGGGTGATGGAAGGCAATACGGAGGCTGGGAGGTGCAGGCAGAGCTCTCGGGGCAGTGGCTTGCACATGTTATCCAGACCATAAGGTAAGTATGGACCCGTGGGAGTCATGCTCAGTGAACGGGCTTGGTGGGTTTACATATATCTGTTTGCATTGGTGCTTTTTGAAGGTGGTCAGTACCCCAGGGTAGGATGTGTTGCTTTACCTGTCAATGAAGAATTAACTTTCTGTCTCTCTGTCCTGCTGCTTCTCCTATTTCTCACTTATAATCTAACCAAGCTGCTATTAAACATTCCTGGTGTCCGTGCTGGATGAGAGTGTCATACTGTATGTGTGTGCGCCCATCTTTGCTGGGACCCTGTACAGACCCCGCTGTGCTCTCCACTTTCAACCTTCAACCTAATGCTGTTGCTCATAAACTCTGTAAGGTGTAATTACAGGATCGTCCAAGCAGTGGCAGGGGTTGCTTGGGGCCCCATTTACTCACTTGTGTTGTGTTCTATTTGTTTGCCAGGCTGACTTATGAATCACTGACTGCCCTGGAAATTCCCAATGACATGTTACAGATTATCCAGGACCTAATTTTGGACCTCCGTATACGTTGTATAATGGTGACATTACAACATACAGCAGAAGGTATGTTAGGAAAATTAATAACTACTACTCAACAAAGTTACCTGAGTTGGCTTCCTTCTAGCTTCCAAAGCCTTGAAAAATAAGAGAAAACTAGTGTTAGGGAAATTTCCATGTATTTATTCATTTCTAACTGTAGAATAGAACTTTTTCTTTTCTTTTTTAAAGTGTGTTTTAAAAATAATTTAGTTGAGATTTAAGACACTGCAGAAGTTAAGGTGAATGTGCTTGAAGCTAAGAATTTAAGAACATCTTTATAGCAAATTTTAAATAGAAACTGCTGGATAGAAAAGTTTATGTGACCCTGTTTAAAAACATGCGGGTATTTTCTAAGTAAATTTTAAAATTCACATGAAATCAGAACACCATTGGCAGTGTTTCTATGGATACTAGAAATTATACATGCTTTTCTTTATACTTTAAAACTTTTCCAGAATTTTCTATATAGAGCCACCAAAAGGCCACCAAGTTATTTTTATAAAGTGACCATTGAAATATTAAATGTGTTAAAAAAAATAGAAAAACAAGAACATTGTTATAAACAGCATAGGCCATTATCGTCTGCAGCCAGGATTTTAGTTGTGGAGGGCCCTGCACTGTAGAATTGGTAGTTAATACATTGTATCAAAGGAAAGATAATGGAATCCAGTTGAAACATTCCCTCCGCCTTCACCTAAGCAAGCCTCCCTGCTGGAAGTTTGGGCAAGTGTCATTCCTCAAGTGAGAGTCAGCCACCATTCAGGAATGGAAAAGAGACTCACACTGAAGCTAAGTCACAGAGTCCAGAGCAGAAGTACTGCAGGGCCTAGTTTTCACTTGTGAAGAATACTGAGTAATCACTGTTGTGCGGTATCTATGCTCCTAGTCTAGAAGGCTCTAAATTAGGCTGTGCTGTTAAAAAGAAACTAACAAAAAAAACCCAAAAGTATGTGCATGAGCATGGTAGTGACCCATGCCTTTAATCCCAGTGCTGGGGAGGCAGAGGCAGGTGGATGTGAGTTCAAGGCCAGTCTGATCTACAGGGCAAGTTCCACGATAGACGGGGCTAAACAGAGAAACTATCTCAAAAAACAAACAAAAAACCATTTTGTTAGAAAATGTAAACAATACATAACTAAGTCTTCAAATCTATCAATACTACATTGTATATCTTTTTTCACAAACTTACATAAAGTAATTAAAAGCCACAACCCATGGATGTTTTTGTCTCTGTTGAAGTTCAGTAGATAATTATAATAGAAAGTATTTGTGTCCTTGTTTTCCATGTAGAAATAAAGAGATTGGCTGAAAAAGAAGATTGGATTGTTGATAATGAAGGACTGACTTCCCTAGTAAGTTTACATTATTTTTTTATTGTTAGTCATTAGTGTTTGTTATATACAAAATAAATGCTTTTATATTAATAAGGATCATACTCATTTTACATTATAACTCTAACTAGCTTCTAGAAATCGTAACATAATCTTAAAATCTTATTTCCCAAAGTCGATTTTGCTTACTGCTGATCACAGACGTTTAAAATGAATGAAAACAGTAAGTCATGTAGGCCTGTATCGCTACTTGTCTGCATTACATTTTAAAACTAGAGTATCTTAATTCTGCAATACTTAACGACTTGAAGTTTTCAGAAAAGCAAGATAGAAGAGTGATGGTTCGGCCCCCCAAACTAAAACAATAAGCATAAGCCTCTGCAGACAGCTACACACAGGTCAGGTAGCAAACAGACTCACTATGCTTTTCCCGGGTGGGTTTAGCATTTCAAGTACCTTTGAAAATGCGTTTCATAATTTTGCATGCCTGTCCAAGGAGTGCCCTAACAGTCTGACAAGGACTGTATCACTGCCGAGACAGAGACTTACCTAGGATGACAGTGATTGCCTTTGTTCCTTACGCTGGCTGGACAGCTTGGCATGCTGCCAGGGCCCAGGGTCACTGTTTGTCTTTGTGACCCTCTGCACTGGTTTCTGGATGGCTGTCTTTGGAGTTCCTTTAGGCCTTACTCCTGTTGGAAAGAAAGTAGCGCAGTCTCCCAGCAGCCGCAGCCACTGTCTTTAGAGCCTATTGGCCAGAAAGCGTCCCTATGCCCCAGGAAATAGCTGTTTAACAATGTAGCCACTGCTGGTTTCTTCCATGTCCTCCTTTGCAAGGGAGAGAAAATAAATTCTGAGGCTGGAACTTAAAGTTTCTGCCAAGAATAAAGTGGATTTGGTCCCACAAATTATAAACCACTGGTAAGTCAGGAACAGAGGTCCACACACACAGCATTTTTCCTTTTCCTGGAGTCTTCATGGGCTCTGAGCAGCCTTACTTTAGATGTTGGGGCTGGTTGTCTCCTAACGTTCAAGGCTCTGCTCCAGGTCAGTATAAATGGATGTTAGTGTTCCCTGAGTTTAGAAGAGACACGTCCACCTCCAGTGTTTTCTAAGTTAAATCATGCGAGAGATGAGTTGGGAAAGTTCATTATTTTTAATAAATCACTTATGATTCTATTACAGAGGATCTCTAATTGGTTGGATTTGTTCTGTTGATTGCATTATTTACATTTAAATAAAAAGTATTCTTTGATTGGTTTTCTCACTATATCTGTAGAGAAAGAATATATATAGTACTTAGCTCATCACTTTCTGAGATACATAAAAGACTATAAAATAGTTTTAATTGTTGATTATATGTTGAAGTCATTTGAATATTCTGTTTTATTTCTGTGGCTGTGTTAAAATACTCATACCAAAAGCAGCTTAGGGGAAGAAAGGAATTCTTTTTTTTGGGGGGGGGGTTTGAGACAGGGTTTCTCTGTGTAGCTTTGCGCCTTTCCTGGAACTCACTCTGTAGCCCAGGCTGGCCTAGAACTCATAGAGATCCGCCTGGCTCTGCTTCCAGAGTGCTGGGATTAAAGGTGTGCACCACCACTGCCCTGCTGGAATTCTTTATTTTACAAGTCCAGGTCACAGTTCATCATTGAGGGGAGTCAGGGCAGGAACTCAAGGCTGTTCCACACAGCATTGTTTTCAGTCAAAGGACTCACTTCACAGCCAGTGAAGTCAAGCAAGAACCATGGGAGAGAATGTTTGATTGTAGCCAGAATTTTTCCTATGTCCCACCCAGTCCCACAGCTGCTCGGTCCCAAGTAAACACAAGGAAGGCTTAAATTAATTACAAACTGTATGGCCTATGGCTCAAGCTCCTTGCTAGCTAGCTCTTACATTAACCTTTTTCTGTTCATCTACGTTTTGTCATGTGGCTTCATGGTATTACCTGTTCTTTCACATCTCGCTTCTCCTGGTGGTGGCTCTCAGCTTCTGCCTGATTCCACCCTTCTTCATCTCTCTCTTCAATTTGAATGTACCACCTAACCTTATTCTGCCTTGCCATTGGCCAAACAGCTTTATCAACCAATGAAAACAAAACATATTCACAGCATACAGAAAGATATTCCACAGCACTTCCCCTTTTCTGTCTAATCAAAAAGGAAGGTTTTAACTTTAACATAGTAAAATTACATATAACAAAAGTTATCAAGCAAGAATTACAGTTACAATATCTACTTTATTTGTATTTGATATAATTAAAGAAAATATTCTATCTATCCTATATTTGTGAGTGTAAAGTTTTATATCTAATTTACCTTTTATCATAACTAAGGAAAACAAAAAAGGGGAAATGTGGTGATATATTGTGTATCAAATAAAACTTGACTGAAGATCAGAGGACAGAGCCAGGCACAGAGTTAAAAATAGAGGTTCAGGCAGTGGTGGCATCACATTTAATCCTAGCACTTGGGAGGCAGAGATCCATCTGGATTTCTGTGAGTTCACAGCCACCCTGGACTACATGAGATTGATTCAGTCTAGGAGAGAAATAGAGCCAGGCAGTGGTGGCACACACCTATAATCCCAGTACTTGGGAGTCACGTGCCTTTAATCCCAACACTTGAGATCTCGTGCCTTTGCTACAGTATTTGGGAAGCACACACACCATTAATCCCAGCACTAGGAAGGAACTGAAATGGTTGGGTGGAGAAAGGCATATAAGGTGTGAGGAGACAGAAACTAGGTCCTTTTTGGCTGAGGACTCAGGGGAATTCAGTCAGAGAATTTGTGGAGTTGGCGAAGTGAGATATTGCTGTGGCTTGTTCCTCTGATCTTTAAGCATTTACCCCAATATTTGGCTCCAGGTTTTTATTATAAGACGATTTAGGATTCAAGCAACATTTGATGTCTGGCAGCAGGCTTATATTCCCATTAGCATTTGTACAGCTTGTTTAGGGTGGTGTTGCCCACGGTGGGCTGGGCCCTACTTTATCAATTAACAAGACAACCCTCCACAGATATCAGTGGGATATCAGCCATTGATGAAATAGGTGTAGGAAGTTAGACATAAAGTCATCATCCCTAATCATCAGGGATATGCAAATCAAAACGACTCTGAGATACCACCTTACACCCATCAGAATGGCTAAGATCAAAAACACTGAAGACAGCTTATGCTAGAGAGGATGTGGAGCAAGGGGAATACTCCTAAACTGTTGGTGGGAATGCAAACTTATACAGCCACTTTGGAAATCAATATGGCGCTTTCTTAGAAAATTGGGAATCAATTTCCCCCAAGACCCAACTATACCACTCTTGGGCATATACCCAAGGAACGCTCAATCATATCACATGGGCACATGCTCAACTATGTTCATAGCAGCATTGTTTGTAATAGCCAGAACCTGGAAACAACCTAGATGGATCTAGAAAAAAATCATCCTGAGTGAGGTAACCCAGACGTAGAAAGACAAACATGGTATGTACTCACTCATAGGTGGATACTAGATGTAAAACAAAGATGACTAGACTGCTACTCACAACTCCAGGGAGGCTACAGGGATCGCCCAACGACAGAGAAATGGATGAGATCTACATGAGCAAACTGGACGTGAGGGAGGGTAATGAAGGGCGAGGGTCAGGGGCAAAAGAACTTAGGGGAGCAGGAGATCCCAGCTGGATCAAGAACAGAGAGGGAGAACAAGGAAGGGGATACCATGATAAATGAAGACCACATGAGAATAGGAAGAAGCAAAGTGCTAGAGAGGCCCACAGAAATCCACAAAGATACCTCCACAATAGACTGCTGGCAATGGTCGAGAGAAAGCCTGAACTGATCAACTCTGGTGATCGGATGGCCGAATACCCTAACTGTCGTGATAGAACCGTCATTCAGTGACTGATGGAAGCAGATGCAGAGATCCATGTCCAAGCCCCAGGTGGAGCTCCAGGAGTCCAATCGGTGAGAGAGAGGAGGGATTATATGAGCAAGAGATATTGAGACCATGATTGGAAAAATCACAGGGACAAATAGCCAAACTAGTGGAAACACATGAACTATGAACCAATAGCCCAGGAGCCCCTATGGAACTGGATCAGCCCCTCTGGAAAAGTGAGACAGTTGATTAGTTTGAACTATTTAGGAGGCCCCCAGGCAGTGGGACCGGGACCTGTCCTTGGTGCATGAGCTGGCTTTTTGGAACCTAGGACCTATGCTGGGACACTTTGCTCAGCCTAGGTGAAGGGAGGAGGGGACTGGACCTGCCTGGACTGAATCTACCAGGCTCTGCTGACTCCCCAGGGGAGTCCTTGCCTTGAAGGAGGTAGGAATGGGAGGTGGATTGGGGGGAGGGCAGGGGTGGGGGTAAGAGGAGGGAGGACAGGAGAATCCGTGGTTGATATGTAAAATTAAATTAATTATAAAATTAAAAAATATATAAAAAGGCAAAAAAAAAGAGAGAGAGAAAAAAAGAAATAGGTGTAGGAAGTTAGACATAAAGTCACCTTAATGCCCGTGCTTGATCTCTGTCTGAAATTAGTTTTGTACAAAGGAAAAAGAAAGCTGTATGTTCAGTTTGAGAAGGTTAAAATCCTTGTTTCATTAAAAAAAGAACAAAAACTGCCCAATACTCAGTCTTCCAGCACAAAACAGGTGCTGGCTTTAGAGCCTTCCTGGCCAGTAAGTCAGCATGCGCAGCCTCCTATGGCCTGCCCCATAGAGTAGAGCTGTGCTGGGTAGCCTGGCCATTGTAAAGGGACCCTGGAAAAATGACTAGACTGATTATTAGGGGAACACGGCTATAGTCTGTTTTTAAAACTGGATTTCTGTAGTGCAGTAATAATCATAAGATAATTAATTTTGTGTTTGACCCCACAGCACACACACACACATACACACAAAAAAGCCACATGAGTACACACAGGGTTAAAAAGAATAAACTCTGGGTCACATGAACAGACAACTGAAGTGGTGCATCTGAAGTCATTCTGCCTGCCTGCCTGCCTGCCTGCCTGCCTGCCTGCCTGCCTGCCTGCCTGCCTGCCTGCCTGCCT